TAATTCGAGCGTCATAAACCGTAACACCTCCTTCATGCTCCACGCTACACCGCGAAAGTAATTGCTTCCCTGGGTGCGGCGCGGTACCTGGCTGTGGTTTCAAACGCCGCCACGGCGGCTGCGGCCGGCAAGGTGTCCACTGGGTTTCGGTTCGAGTCCTGTTTAGCGACTCTGAAGCTCAAAACGCGTCTAGAGTTTTGGCCGCCTCCACCGGTCTTCTGGCCCAGTGCGAGGCTCAGTTTTGGCGTCGGCGGCGCCCCTGGCGGCAAGAAGACGCCGTCGTTGGCGCGGTAGTGCTGGAATTGGGGGAACTTGTCGTCCGAGGGCGGCCAAGGCGGGCCAAGGCGGCCAAGGGGCGGAACAAGGGTGGACGACAGCACGCCGCGCACGTACCGCTCCAGGACGCCGACGGCCGACGGACAGGACAAGCCTTCCCTCCCCTCCCCTCCCCTCCGTCCTCGCGGCCCTCGCCGTCGCTGGCTCGCCCTGTTTCCGGGCCAGTAAGTGTGTTGTGTACTCCGGCGGACCGCGACGTGGCCGTGACTGCGCGCGGACTGGCCGCCAGCTCGGACTGGCCGCCAGCGCGGACTGCCTGCCAGCTCGGACTGGCCGCCAGGGAGATTTATCACCGTCTTTACTTCCCCCTTTTTACGCGCGTGTCTCTCGGTGAATTATCCTGCCCTGGCAGCAGGCAGCAAGCGTGGCACTCGCAGACGGAGTATTCATTGGCTTCCACCGCGGTCCACGGCTTTCTGCACGGACCGTGAAAATTGAAGCCGCCAGATCTCCTCTCCCCGCTGTGACTGTGGAACAGGAGGAACGGAGGCTGACTGGCTCGGCAGAACACTAATCTTCTTAACAGCGGGAGGCCAAGTACCGCATTTCGCCGATGGTCGGCATGGACTGGGCTTCGTCGACGGCGTCCTTGAAGGCAGTGTCGAAGGCGCTCGGTGCGGGCTGGGCTTTCTTGACGGCATTCTTGAAGGCGTCCATGACGGCGGCCTCGAAGGCGTCCACGACGGCGGCCTCGAAGGCGGCGCAGGCACGTGGCGGCCAGGCGGATCATAATTACATTACATAGCTCTATTATTTCTGAGAGGGACGGGACGTGCGGGACGTACGCCATTCGAAAACTATGCCAATATTTCAGTGGCGCGGCGCGCGAGACGGCGCGGCCGACGTGCCGCCGGACGGCTGGTCGAATCCGAACCGCGCTCTGTCTCTCTCACTCGCGGCGCGCCCCGCGGGAGAGCGAGAGAAACACCGCCCTTCGAAATCAGCCTGCAGGACCGGCGGAGAATAAGTAAGACATAATGTCGCCCCCTCTCTCTCCCTCTTCCCCGCGGCCAAGTTGGTGATAAACGCGAGTGGGTGCCGCGCGGCGCCCGGAGGCCCGGAGGCGGGCCGGCCACCCTCTCGCTCCATTTTGCACGCTGCGCTCCGCCGCGCCCCGCGCCGCCACGCCGCGACGCCCACACCACGACGACGACGACGACGTTGGAGGTGAGGCGGCACCGGGGGTGGGAGGGGAGGGGCGACGTCCGGCCGCCAGTCGTGTTGCACTTTGCGCGCGTTGCGGGAGCATGGTGGATGGCGACGGCGACCCTCTCGCTCAGCCGCCGCCGCCACCGCCACCCGCAGCATGCCCATGGCACGGCCCATGGCAGTGCCGTGGCATGCCCGCAGCACTCGCAGAATGGGCAAGCGGCATGCGGTGTTGATGTTGCTGCGGCCGTACCCTCACCGGGGAGGCGGGCCGGGGACCCCCGGGACCCGCTGACAATGCGGCAGCAGCAGACACTGCGGCCCGTGGGTCCGTGGGTTCGAATACCGTGTTTCTGCCCTTTTTCGGACTCATTTTTCCGACCCGGTTCGCCGCGGCCCGGCCCGGCCCGGCACCGCGTCCGCCCTGGAAGTGCTAACAGTGCAAGCTGTACCTTATGCATGTCGGCAAACTAGTCTATTCCACCGTGCCGCGCCGTGCCGTGCCGTGCCGTGCCGTGCAGGCCGCCCTTGCACGGGCCCTCGGCGGGGGGCGGGCCTAGGCGGGCCGGCCCTCGAAGCCCTTCAACAACAATAAACCGTCCGGCTGGTGCCGCTTGGTGCCGCCGGCCCGTTGAGCCGGCAGAGGTGCGCGCGGTCCACTGAGCACCGCGGTGCGGACTATGCCGCGTCTCTCTCGCTCTCACGGAGAGGCCGCGGGGGAGCGAGAGAGACAGAGCGACGCGTGTGCGGATTCACGCGGCACTGTTTGGCCGACGACGTGCGGGGAAAAGGCCTCGGAGGCCATCGCCGTGGCCGCGGCCGGGGCCTACACCGCCAGCCCGCCAGCCCGGCAGCGCGGCCCCGGGATGAATAAAACATAATTTGCTTGTGCGGCAAACATGGAAAGCATTCTGCGCGAGCAAAACGTTCCGCCGCGAGCGCAACGGCCGAGCCGTTCGAAGGGGGCGCCTCGGCGTGTGTGTGTGTGTGTGTGTGCGCGCGCGTGCGTATGTAGGTGTGTGTGCGTGCGTGCGTGACGCTCCCCGGACCAGCGCAAGATATCGCTCCGGTCTGCCTCGGCCGAACTCTGCCGCGTTGTTCCAGAAACGAGCACGGGCCTCGCAAGCAAGCGGCCGGTGGGACACGCAACAAGGAACTCTCGAAAAGTTCGGCTAATATTCCGCTGTGACTGCACTCTCAAAAAAATTAAAAAAAGAAAAATTGTTAGGAATTTGAATTTTTTTTTTCGTTGCAAAAATTTGTTGTGTTTGCATCCTCCAACGAAGTAAAACTGCGAACTATCTGTAGTCTCAAAGTCTGCAAACTGCAGTGGTTGTCATTACGGGCGGCTGACGCGACGGTGACTCTGACACGAGAAAAACGCGTCGTCACTTGACCACCCGCCGGTTATCTTCCTCCTTGCAGCTGGGCCGCGCTGGCGGGCGTTCCGAGCCACCCCGCCAGCTTGGGGCACTACTTGTCGTCGGGCGAGGCAGCGGAGCAGCGCGCCCGGAACACGACGAACAAGGTGTCCCATGCCAGGCCCCGCCCGGCCCTGCCTGCTGCGTCGCCCGCGTATCTCAGCAACCTGATTCCGAAGCGGTGCTTCGCGTCGCTCCGTCTCGCTCGCTCTCATACGCAGGGCGCGACCGTGATAGGGGTGCGAGAGAGGCGGAGCGACGAGAGCGCTGTTCGGAATCGGCCTGCCTGGAATTTGCATGGGGGAGTGGGGAAGGCGCGGGTGAGTTGGGGGTGGGTTGGCGAGGTGCGGGGGGAGGGGGGAGAGGGGAGGGGAGGTGGGGGTGGTGGGGGCAAGGGCGCGGGCTTGGCGGCGTCTGCGCTTCCTGAACCCCCTTCCCTCCCCGTTCCGCCCGGTCATCGCCGACCTGGCCGCTCTCGCCACGCCAGCGTCTGTCTCCGCACCTGTTTTATACCGGCGTAATAAAACAAGGACGCGGCGCGGCAAAGGCGAGGGGATCCGGGACGACGACGGGACGTGAGAATGGATCCCAGCAGGATGCGCCAACGGCCGGCCGGACAGACAGATAGACAGACGGACAGACAGACAGGCTGACAGACGGACGGACAGACAGACGGACAGCACACGGACGGTCATGCCGCGCTAGCTAATCCATCTTGGAATCTCCATCCAGTCCGAGAAGGAAAGCGACACGCGGGAGTTCGGCTGCCAAATCGCAACGCCCCTTCTGCGGGCCCAGTCCGTCTCTGCCGTCTCTCTCGCATTCACGGGGCGTGCCGCACGGGTGCGAGAGAGACGGGACGACGGATCAGGGCGCCTGCGGGTCGGGGACGGAGAGTGATGACGGATTCATGGAGCCGCACTCGGGCTGCAGTGTCGCCTTTCGGAAAAGATGACACGGTACTCGTCGGGGGCGTGGCGAAGTGGGGCGGGGCGGCCAGGGCATAAATTCTGCTGCGGACAGTAGCGATGGGCTGCACCTGCATGGGGCGTGGCGGGTGCGGTGGCCCTCCAGGACGAGGCCCTCCAGGAGGACGACGGAGGTCTCGAAGGGCCTTCGAGGGTATACGGCTTTTCGTTTGCCGTCTGCACGACGCCCAAGACGCCAGGCAGCGGCCGGCGGCCGCGCGTAGTGTCCGTCAGCCGTGTGACTCGAAGAAGTGCGCGTCGCTCTGTCTCTCTTACACACCCGGTGAGCGCGACGGCGACGGCGCGACACCCTCGGGGCTCGGCCTGCTGGCTTGTTTGCCCGCCGCGTTACTGGCCGAGCTCGTGGGAATCTTGCTGGGCGGCGCTGGGCGGCGAGCACGGCGTCGACGGGCATAAAGGGTGCGCGTGGCGCGGCGTTGCGAGGCGTGGCGCGGCCAGGTGTGCCGGTGGCCCTTATCAGTGGCGCGCGCACCTGACGAGGCCACAAACACAGCGCCGCGCAGCGCGCCCTCAGCTAGGCCCTGGCCGGGCTGCCGAAACGCTGACCCCGCCTTGCGTTCGCGAAACCGCGCGCCGCGGCCTCGCCGAATATCGTACACACTGCCGACACCGCGCCCTGCACTGCGGCTCGCCGTGCCGCGACCGCACGCCAAGTTCGAACGCGCCGCACCGCCAGAAGACGCGCATTCTTCCCGTTTCCTTGTGAAATTTTACACCTGCCGGCTGGGCGGCGGTGGCTGCGCGAGGGACGTGCTGAAATGGATAGCGGGGGAGGGGGCGCGGGGGGTTATGGGTCCCCCGCAGCCCTCGGCGGGGCTCGGTGAGGCGCCCGCCAAGCTCAGCAGGCGCGCCAGCATACGCCCGCCCCGCCCCGCCCCCCGCCCCGCCCCGCCCCGCCACGCCTTGGCTGGCTCGAGTTATCGACAGTAAAGTCAGCACACGCCCCGCCCCGCCCCGCCCCGCCCCTCGAGGGCGGCTTCAAAGGCCGCCTTCCGGGTCGGAGGCAGCGGCAGGCTCGGCGAGGAACACGCGGCCCGGAATGGAGCGACTCTTCGCTGCGCTACGCTCGGCGACGCGGTGCCACGTCGTCGGTGACGTCACTCACCCGGTCTTGGCGAAGTTGCAGATGTAGTTGATGGTGGCCTCGGCGACGGCCACGTCCTGGCGCGAGTAGTTGTGCGGGAAGTGGGGCTCGCCGCCGACCAGCGGCAGTCCCAGCAGGTAGGGCAGGCCCTCGCCGCGGACGGAGCCCAGCCGCTGCCGACCGAGAGAGACATCAGTGGTGCACTCTAAAAATAAATCAGGACTACCCCCTTATCACGTTTGTATACTACAATCTAGTAAAATCAGTTATGAACTTTTAAAAAATCACTTCGCTTTTTAAAAATTTACGACACATTTCAAAAATCATGACGATACTTTTAAAAAAATCAGTACGACACTAAAAAAAAAACAGTACGATACTTTAAAAAAAAATCAGTACAACACTTTTCAAAAATCAGTCCTACGCTTTTAAATAATCAATACAGTCCAAGAAAAATCGAACATGTGTTTTTGTTTCAGTTGAAATTTAGGTCGTGAAGACTACGAAAAATAAAATTTGGTTTCTGACCTGCGGGTACAGCGAGTCCCGGGTCTGGTGCGCGAAGTGGAAGAGGTAGGTGGGCCCGCCGCGGCGGGCGTGCGTGCGGGCCAGCAGCACCAGCGGCGCCACGGTGTGGCCGTCCGACAGCGCCTCCAGCGTGTTGTCGCGCAGGTTGATGGGGTGCGCCACCGGCTTCTCCCAGTCCGTGTACTCGTTGCGCACCGTCGAGAAGATCTCGTTGAGGTGGAACACGTAGGCGTTGCGAACAAACGTCCGCAGCACCCGGTTGCGCTGCTCCTCCTGCAACAGTGCGTCAGGACGTTAGGACGTCGCCGAGCCGTGGCGGTCAAAGCCGGGCCGTTTTGGCGGCGTCGCGGCGTCGCGGTACCCAATTCATTTTTATGACCGTTTCTAAATCGGCGACGCGACAAAGCGACCCCCGCCGGGATGCGGCGATTACCGCGAGCAAGGCCGCGCGGCAAGGTCGCGAGCGCTTCTTCTGCCGAGATTGGAAAGGGCAAATCTTACGGGCCATTAGCTCCCCCCGCGTCGGAACCTTTGTCGAAAGCTCTCTGGCTGCGCCGAAGATGAAATATTTGAGGCCCGCTTCGATAAGGAGAAAAGCACGCCGCCAGGTGGGTAATATTTCTCGGCGTGCCAGCGGCTCCAGCGGCGCCAGCCAGAGGCCCACTCCACAACAAAGGGATCGCGGGGAGCGGCAAAAAAAGCAGTGCGAGCGAGACGAGACGGCCAGAGCCTCATCACGGCAATTTGGCGGCGGAAACCGAGCGAGTGGCGACGGAACGAGACGGAATCGGGGTGGCTGGACTCCAGGGAGTCACGTGTCATCCGGGCGGCTGAGACACTGCGGAGACTATACTGATTGGGCAGACGGAGGGCTGGCTGGAGAGACAGTGTACAACCAAGAAAGACCTTTTTTGAACCAAGATAATAAACTTGCGTCAAGCGAATTTACTTGCAAGTTTTCAAGTAAATTAAAGTCACTTATTATTGCAAGGCAATTTCCTGGGTTCAAGAAACGGCTTTTTGGAGGGCTGGAATGAGACTTGCCTCGAAGCCGTACTGGATGTCCTGGTTGTTGAAGTCGTCATAAGACTCGGTGGTGTGAGCCCCCCACCAGCAGGGGGCATCGCACGAACGGGTCGTTGGCTTTTTCCAGCGCCACCCGCACGGGGTCCAGCCCCGGGAACGGGATGGACGGGCCGAAGCGAGGTAGGAACCTGGGCAAGAAGAGGACGCAATTCAGTTAATGCCTTTTTTTTGGAAGACTGTCGAAATTTTTGGCCCTGGTCAAGCCGACTGAAACCTGGTTCATTTCAGTGTTGCGTGGGCCAGGTGACCGGTGCAGGGGGCTAAAACTCTAGACGCGTTTTGAGCTCCAGAGTCGCTAAACAGGACTCTAACCGAACGTGTGACCCCACCAATGGATTCCTCGTTCGGAGAGCAACCCGTTGGTGGGGTCACACGTTCGGTTCGAGTCCCATTTCGCGGCCCTGGAGCTCAAAACACGTCCGGGATTTGGACCGCCTCCACCGGTCTTCTGGCCTGCGGGTCGCTGCGGGTCCCTGCTGACCTGGGTGGCTCCACGGAGACGGACAACAGCGCCTCCAGTGGAAGGCGCCGCAGACACGGCGCCAGGTCCTGGTCACCGGGCGCCGAGACGTGGCAGCCCAGCTGGTGCGAGACGGCGCCGCGGAGGTCCCACGGCGTCTGCACCGTCGCCCAGGGGCTCAGCACCGAGCCCGACATGAGCACCACGTGGTGGAACAGCCCTGCAGACAGAGAGGGACAGAGAGGTTTCATCCCAACAATCCAAAACACTCGCAATAAGGCACGCTAAGACCTGCTGCGAATTTGAGACAGGACGTCGACAGCCTGCGTGTCGTCGGCGTGACGAGAGTGGAGAGAGAGAGAGGGGGGGGCGAGCGAAACAGGAGGAAAGAGAGAGAAAAACGAAACCGTGCTCCATTTCCATTTCGCCATTTTTGCGACAGAGTACACGGTGTGACACGATGCGTGGCCACAGCTGGCGTGCAATCATAACGGCAAAAGAGCGCCCCTCTCCGCACGTGGCGGGGCGGGGCGGGGCGGGGCGTGGTGGGGCGACGTATGCATCCGGCATAAAAGAAAAACAACGGCCACTTGCTTCTCGTGTTACACGTTTGCGTACTCACGTCTCGTACTCTGTCGACGGTAATAATGTCCTTTTCGATTCATCATTCCCCCCTCCCTTCCACCGACCCCTTTGCATTTACGCAAACAAAACTTTTTTTTTCGGCCACCCTTTTTCCGAGTGATTTTTGTGTTGTTGTTGTTGTTTCCGAGCAGCGCAGACGCAATCTACCGTGCCGTACACCGAAATCACTTCGGGCCCCGCGCTCATAACTGCGTACTATAAAAAGTGAAATATCTACTGTTGCGCTCCGAGCACCGCCGTGTACTCCTTATTGGGGGCCGCGGGTTCGGTGCTACTACGCTGTCCAATCGCTGGTGGCGTCACACACACACACACACACACAAACACAAACACACACACACACACCAATAATACCATTCTCCCCAGGGATGCGTCGCTTGCCCGGTCTGCTGGACCGTGAAGTCACGCACACACACACACACACACACACACACACACACACACACACACACAGCACGCACGCACGCACGCGCACACGCCTTCTCCTCCCCAACTTCTTGCCCGGGTCCTCCTTCCCCCCTTATTACACACCCGTGGATGAAAAAGTCAGAAACGTCGCGCGGCTCACCGACGCAGGAAAGAGAAAATAATGCAATAATACTGATAAATAAATTGATGAAATGAAAGCGGCATGAAAATAGGGAGGGGGGGGGGGAACAACAGAGCGAGAGATGAGTTCCGTCTCGCTCGTAAATGAAGACCGCGAAAATGCAAGTGGTTTGTTTTAGATTGGGCGATGGAGTCCGACGGCGTGTTTGGCTTTCGGCGCTTTTGGCAGTGTACCGCGAGGGCGTGCGTTAGGGGGGGGGAGGAGGAATCGGAATGCCGGCAGCCTGGCTGCCTCCGAACGCGGTGGCGTCGCGGTGCCTCTCTCTCCCTCTCTCTCGCACGCGCGGGGCGTCCCGTAGGGGTGCGACAGAGACGGAGTGTCCGGAGCGCCCTGCTAATTATTTCCCGGGAAATGACCGGTGGAAGAAAAGACAAATAGAATTAACACACAAAGACGGCCGCGGCGGAGAGGGCCATCTTGACGGAATGAGGAAAGTTTTTGTCGCGCCGATTCCCCCTCCCCCTCCTCCCCCCTTTCCACTGCCCCCCTTCCCTCGACAATCAAGCAGCAAGGGGAGGCGTACCGCCCCGCCCCGCCTCGGCCACCCCGCCCCGCCGCGCCTTCACCTATTGCATATTTCCAATGCAAAACACACGGGCCACTCTTTCCCTTATTTCAAGGGCCGCGCTCCGCCCCGCCCCGCCAATCGATTCTAAGGGCAAAGAGACGCGGCGCCGGCTTCAAACTTTGCCCATCAGCCCGACGGACCAACCGGCCGGCGTGCGCGCGGCCCGCACCCCGCGGCCGCGACGGCCACCCCACCACGCCGTCGTCCGCGGCCCGCCAGGACGCCGTCGAGGAGCGCGACTGAATGGCACGAGCCGCGCAAACAGCCGAGAGCTCCATCCAGCAGCGCGACGGCCTCGACGTCTTGCTCCGCGCGCTGCCGCCGCTGCCGCCGGCGTTCGGCCCTCGCGGCGGATTGGCCGTGAAATCCCTGATTTAGAGCGGTGCCGTGTATCGGGGAGGGGGAAAGGGGGGGGGGCAACGGAGCGAGAGTTGTTAAAGCGGCGATAAGAAGGCAGCGGATCCGCCGCCATACGGCACGCGGCGCGTCCATCGCCCCGACCATTCAGCTTAACGGGCGGCGCACCGCGGGGCTGCACAGTGGGCCAGAAGACCGGTGCAGGCGGTCAAAACCCCGGACGCGTTTTGAGCTCCAGAGTCGCTAAATGGCACTCGAACCGAACGTGTGACCCCACCAATGGACTGCTCTCCGAACGAGGAATCCATTGGTGGGGTCACACGTCCGGTTCGAGTCCTGCTCAGCGACTCTGGAGCTTTAAAACGCGTTCAGAGTCTTGGCCGCCTGCGCCGGTCTTCTGGCCCACTGTGCTGCGCTGCTCCAAGCTGGCGCCTGCGAGGTAGGCACTGTACGGCTCGGCCGCGCGCGCCTGAGCGGCGGGCTAGTCTACCCTTGAGTTCGCAGGCGCTAGCCGCGGAGCCGTCCAGTCTTTCGCGCCCCCGTCTCGGTCCGCGATTCACGCGTCAAGCCAACTTTACTTTCGAATTTAAATCGGCCTCTTCGACACCACACGCTCATCAGTGGTAATGCATCCCGGAGTTAGCGACACACCTTGTTTTTTCGTAAGTTGGCACGACGTCTCGGCCGACGGCCGATCGGGGACGGCGGCCACCGCGCGGGGTTGGCAACCCTGCCCTTGTTTGTTTCCGTCCGCGTGAAGTTTCTCTCATCGCGGCCGGAAGAGCGAGAGAGAGAGAGGAACATATGGAGACAAGAGCGGGAATCCCGGGAATCCCTGTGTGAGGCGGGGTGGGAGACATAAAAGACGGAGAGAGAGAGAGAGAGAGAGAGAGAGAGAGAGAGAGAGAGAGAGAGAGAGAGAGAGAGAGAGAGAGAGAGAGAGAGAGAGAGACGAGGGAGGAAGGAGACATGGCGCCATAGATCAAAACTTGTTCATCGTTGCTGTACTTGTGAAATGGCTGGAGAGGTACTAACAACTCCGACCCCCGCAGCGCCACTGCCGCTGCTTCTGCTGCGTCCGCCGGCCTGCCACGGTAATTTCATCAGGAACGTGTCTGGCCCGTCGGATTGAAATACGGAGCCGTTATGCAAATGAGCCGGCCACGCCACGCCCCATGGCCGATAGACGTGGTAGACGCGATAGACTCACAGTGGGCCAGAAGACCGGTGGAGGCGGTCAAAAACCCAGACGCGTTTAGAGCTCCAGAGTAGCTAAACAAAAGTCGAAGCGAACGTGCGCCCCCACCAATGGACTCCTCGTTCAGAGAGCAATCCATTGGTGGGGTCACACGCTCGGTTCGAGTCCCGCTAAGCGACTCTGGAGCTCAAAACGCGTCTAGAGTTTCGGCCGCCGGCGCCGGTCTTCTGACCCACTGTGAGACTGCGGGACGACGCAAGCGGCGCTACCCACCTCTTGACAGTGGGCTGAGCAGCAGGATGCTGGCGAGCGCCGCGCCAGTGTCGTGGCCCAGCAGTGTGACGCGCTTGGGGTCGCCGCCGAAGGCCGACGCGTTGTCCTGCACCCACTTGAGCAGCGTGAGGATGTCGCCCGTGCCGTAGTCCAGGTCCGTGCTGCCCAGCCTCGTCCGCAGGAAGCCTGCAACACGCCATCAGCGGATTAACGCAAAGTCACTGCGAATTTTTAAAAAAATACACTTCAAATGAATGAGTGTACTAAGTTCATGCTTCAAGGTATGGCATCCCAGATCAGCTTGGTTCCCACTTTGGAGCATGGAAGCACAGTTCAGTCCACACTTAAGCGAGGACACTTTGCATTTTGCAGTGTCGTTGCTGTGGACAAACACTAACAGTCACACACACTCATACACCCAGACACTTACACACACACACACACACACACACACACAAACAGAGAGAGAGCGAACGAGACACCACTGTCAAACGACGATAAATAAAAGAACGGCGGCCATTCTTAGCGCGCGACACGAGTGCGCGGGGATTTGGCACGCGGACGAATAAGCGGATAGCCCGGGAGCGCGCTTTCAAATCGCGGCGTGGATTCATCCTCCCGATGCTCCCTCCTCAATTCCTCGCACATTACCCCCGCGTCATTACCGCAGGCATCCTATAAAGTTGGCAACGCTGACCCGCCCGCGAATCGCCACTCTCCATTTTGCCAGACACATTATTATCCGCCCCGCCCCGCCTCACCTCGCCCCGCCCCGCCCCGCCCCGCCCCGCCCCGCCCCGCCCCGCCCCGTCAGTGCGTGGCCAGTGAAAGTTGCAGCAAGTGGGAGGGAGCAGTGCGGGGCGGCGGCGGGTATACAGTTTATGCTCGGCAAAAGTTTCCGTTTTAGCGGAGTATGGCGCTGCTGGTGGTGTTCGCGAGGGAGACGGGAAAGGAGGGGGGGAGGGGGTACGTGGAAATGAGCGGCCTAACGAAATTCGAGATTTCGGGAGTCTATATTATTATCCCCACGGCGCGGCGCCGTGGTTGGCGAGGATGCTCTGAGAGCACGTATGCTGTTTGTTCCGGGATTTCGTCTCTTCGGCTTCGGTCGACAACTGCTCTTGCCTCCACCGGTCTGGTCTTCTGGCCCACTGTGCGTCCCCCGAAATAACAGCCTTGACACGGCGGGCCAATCAATGCGGCGGCTCCTGCGCGCTGCGGCGCCACTGTAACAATATTTGGGCTGTAAAGCGTAAACCGGCAAAGTAAAGTCCGACCGAGATTGGCTCGACTCGCTCCATTTCTTCGCCGAGGTCGCGCGGCTCGCCTTTTAAAATGTTTTTTCTGTCCACCTTCCACCTTGTCGGGCCTTCGGGCCGCCGTCTCCAGCGGCTCCAGCAGCGCGCTCCTACACTGGCTGGCGGTCTCGCGATGGCGAATTTCGACTCCTCGGTCCAGCACAGTGTCCCGGAGTAATTTGCTTTGCGACCCGGACGCGGAGGCCCTGCGGGTCATAACCTCTATGACGTCAGCAGAGGAAAGTGAGATTAGGCGGACACACGCGGAGTGAAAGTGTCGCCTCGGGGCATGGGCTCGCAAACGGGTCATCCAAACGGACTGAACGGTGTCCCAGACACCGCGACTCCAAAAATAAGTGCAGCCGGGTTGGGTTGGGAGGGGAGGGGCGAGGCGGGCCAGTTTCATTAAGCTAAGCATTCCGACAAACAAAAGAAGTAAGTCGACACTGTAGTGCACAGCAGCAGCAAGGAGAAGATGAGAAATGAGTAAGTTCGCGCCTCGTCTTCGTTTACTTTATTTTCTCGCCATCTTCTTCCCTTTTTTTTTTGCCAAGGAGAGCGACACAGGAATTAAGGTCGAGCGGCGCAGGGGCCGGGATGAGGTCAAAGCGACGCGCACCCAGTGTGCTAGCCGCCCCGCCTCGCCTCGCCCCGCCCTGCCCCACCCCGCCCCGCCCACTCAAAAATAAACAAAAAAGTGTGCAAAATGGATGACGCGCTGCAATCCGGGCACAGCAAGGCACACAGGGACCCGCGACGCGGCCCCGACCCAAAATTGCATTACACCGGGCTTATTTCGAAACGCAATCCATCTCTGTCCAATTATACATTTCCGTGCTTTTTTTTCTCTTTCTACTTTTTTGGTTGCCGCCGCGGCCCGGCGCGCGAAATGAATATTATCGGGCGAGTATGGAGACGGTCGCGGCGGCGGCGCGGCCGGCAGCGCGCTCGGCCAACTTGAAAATGGAACTAATTACTGCGAACTTGTTTTAAGTAATTAACATCCGAGTGTAGCCGTGCAGCCGGACGAGCCAACTTGGCGCCAAAACAATAAATGGCCCCGATCCAGGGCCGTGGCCGCGTGGCCGAGGCGGTGGCCAGGCCCGGCGGCACACTGGCCAGGCCGCCAGGCCTCGGCGGCCCCCACTGCTGAGTGCTGCATTTCGGCTCCACTGCAGCGCACAACTCTCTGGCGCTCGCACAAATCCCGCACTGGCGTGCTTTAGCGGTGCCGGAATTTCAGCCGACCACCCCGGGGAGTCAAAAGACTGTGCCGGCTGCACTGGGATTCCTCGGAGCTGGCCCGGGTTCAACGCCCGCACACAGCTAGTTCTTGTTTCATCACTGGTTAAGATTTCCCATGGCAGGCCTGAAGTCCTCATGCCCATTGTTGAAGGTACACAGGGCAGTGACCGCACTGACCTAGGATGCCGAGCCGGTAGTTGAAGGTGACGACGATGACGTGGCCCCAGGACGCGAGCACCGCGCCGTCGTACGGGGAGCCCGCGTTCCACTCGTACGACTCGCCGTGCACCAGCACGATCACGGGGTAGGGGGCGTCTGCACCGCGGGACCCTGCAACAAACAACAACACGTTACAATGTGGCGGTGCGAAAAGTGCGCGCAAAGGGTAAGAGTGCAACAAATTTTTTTTACAAAAATGGAAAAAAGAAGAAAAAAAGAAAGAAAAACGAGGGAAAAGGAAGTAGAAAATGGAAGGAAACTGATTGGGAGGGCGGCATTTGCATTGTTTTTCCGGTGGCCCTGCGGCCGCCCTTCCCTGGCCCCAGGCAGCCCCAGGCTTCCGGATCCGCTACTTTGGCGCCGCGGTTTGACTCCGGCCGACTCCGGCCCGCTTCCAGCGCTCCCAGCGCCTTTAAAATGAGTGTTTTCGAGTGCGGGAAAAGCTTTCCCTGTAAGCGCTTTAAGAGGGGCGCGGCGATCGAGTCTTATGTAAAGTCTGCCGCGCGGTCGGAGCGAGTCCTGCCGAGTCCTGCGGGGGCCGCCAGGGAACCGCCAGCCCGCCCGCTCCACTGCGAGGGGATCAGTTATTTGATCGAGGCCCCCGAACAGCGAGCGCATCCCTGAGGCCACCAGGACCTCGCCGAGGCCCTCGGCGAAGACCCGCATACAACGTTGATGAGGTGTCGCGGTCGTCCGCGAACTGGCTACCCACAGTGGGCCAGAAGGCCGGTCGAGGCGGTCGAAATCCTAGACGGGTTTTGAGCTCCAGAGTCGCTAAATGGGACTCGAACCGAACGTGTGACCCCACCAACGGATAGCTCTCCAAGCGAGGAATCCATTGGTGGGGTCACGCGTTCGGTTCGAGTCCCACTTAGCGACTCTGGAGCTCAAAACGCGTCTAGAGTGCTGGCCGCCTCCACTGGTCTTCTGGTCCACTGTGCGTCCCACAGACCCAGCCCCTGGGGCGTGCCGCGTGGCGGTCACTGGGTTAGCGGGAGGAACCGAGCCGCATCGCCAGAGACGCGAGGCGCCGCGAATATTCAACCGGCCGTGCATTATTTCGGACACGCTCACGCACGGCCTCGGCACGCCCTGGACCGGACCACCCCCGGGGGCGGCCGCCCCGCCCCGCCCCGCGCCACGTATGGCGCGCCGCAAGCCAATTCACTTAAAGAGTTGGAGCGCCGCACCCCGGCGGACGGACGGCCGGGGAGGGGACAGAACGACGATGACGATGAGGAGGACGGGGAGCAACCAACGGGGACGAAGGGACGGCGAGGGCCTCTTGGCCCTGTTGGCACGTAACGGCCGCCCGTCCCAGTTTGTCACGTCGCAGCCGACGGACAGCCTCCCCCCCCCTCCACTTGCCTCCCCCGGCTGGGCCGGCCTGGACGTCTCGGACCCTCGGGAACACACGGCCCGTGCGGGAAAGAGAGCGTGAATCTTGGCGTTTCAGTCTGCCGCTCTTTGAGTCCGCGCCGTCGTCCCCCTCCCCTCCTTTCCTTCTTTCCCCCTCCCCTCCTCTTCTTCTTCTTTCCCCTCCCCTCCCTTCCCGCCCCTCTGGCCTTCCACTGCGTGGGTTCGTGATGAGTGGCCGGAGTAGGTGCGTCAACGTGGCGTGCCACGCCACTGCAGCGGCGGTACCGGACCCGCAATCCCCTACACCGTCAGAAACTAAGTGCCTCTTTACCGTCGCAATGACTGACAAGGTGGCACTACTCCGCCACAACAACAACAACAACAAGATCTCGAGCTCCGGAAAGTAAAACAAGTGTCAACGAAATCTGGACGGCCGGAAAAGCACGCGGCAACAGCCACAACTTATTATTTTATGCTCTTGTTGCTCTCGTATTTTTTTGCGCCCAAGTGGCGCGTGCACACACAACAAGTGTAGGGCGCACGAGACTCGGCCGCGTTTTTCATTGAGATGTATGGAGCGGCGACAGTACGGCGGTAATGCGTATGAGGCATACGAGGAGTATGATTTATCGCTGTCCTTGTTGCTCTTGCTGCTGTTCTTGTTGCTCTTCTTGTTTCCGCGAGAAAGTTTCGTCACAAGACGACGGCGCATTCATCCTCATTCAACGCCTTGCTTTGTGCACTGTCGGGACCATTTGGGCGAGGTGCCAAAATTAAGTTGGTTTGCTCAGTCCAAAATTTTTTTTTTTTAAAAAGAAATTGACTTGTGGTTAAGTCTCTACTCCCGCCATTTTTAATTGAATTTTTCAAATGAATGGAAGGCTTGGTTTTAGCCCTTTTTCGACTTTCACTCGCTGGAACGTTGGAGCTGCGTTAGCTAGGCCGCCGGTTGTCCTCGAACATGCTGTAGTATTCCCGCAGAGAATGCCTTCTGTTAATGAGCTATGCATGTTTTATGGCAGTGTACAGACGAGGAATGATTGGAGAGCGGAGTAATTTGAGGGGTGGGGGACATCCAGGGCCGCGCACTTCAAATACGGTTGATTGGAGTCAGTGTTGGCTGCGGGACGGTAAGGCAACTGCTTTGCCCAGCTCGGTTTGCCTACGTGCCTGGCCGCTCCACCGGTCTTAATTCTGGCCCACTGTGCGCCTGGAAGCCACACGCGCGTCGGTTTCAATGCTAGGATAGCGAGGAAACCATGGCAGTGCATGACTGTTCGGAGAGCCGTCTAGACCGACTGACAGACTTAAAGTTGCAGAGTGCCGTGGCCTTAATGGGGTCGGTCGACGTCAGACCGACCAAAGCGGTGCCAAGCCAAATCATGCCCAAACAGTGCATCAACTCCGTCGGAATGATTCAGAATCCCCAACGCCCGCGCTGCTGACTGCCTGCCACGTCGGTTTTGACATTTCGAACGGGCTCTGGCTGTCCGCAAATGGCATAAAAAGCGACGAAACGGATCGAAGTGAAGCGGCCTTGCGTCACGGGGAGTGGCTGTTGCACTCAGTTCTTTTTTCTTGTTTTTACGTGGCCTGTCTACACAATTACTGCGAAAACACGCAAACACCCCAGCTGCCGCACGCACAAACCCACCTACGCCTATGAACACACACACACACACACACACACACACACACACACACACACACACACACACACACACACTCACTCACAGTGCTGCCCACGCGCTAATCGATGCCGTTTGGTCCGGCTGCAGACCGTGGGGCCGGAAGACCGGAATTAGAAGTTGTCGACGAGTTGGCGGCGCGGCCGACCGGCGGCCGACCGGACCCTGACGCCCCGACCGACGCCCTGGAGGGCCTCCATGGAGGCGACTGCGGGACGCGCTGCCCTGCCTGGCCGCGGAAAGTTGCCTCGGAGCAGAACGTCCCCGAAACGATCAAAGTAGAGCGACAGAAACGAGGAAGCCGTGACCGGGCGACGGCCTACAGTGGGCCAGTGGACCGGTGGATGCGGCGGTAAAATCCTGGACGCGTTTTGAGCTCCAGAGTCGCTAAACGGGACTCGAACCGAACGTGTGACCCCACCAATGGATTGCTCTCCGAACGACGAATCCAGTAGTGGGGTCACACGCTCGGTTCGCGTCCCGTTTGGCTGCTTTCTCTCGTTCGCTGTGTACCTACTCAGTGTACTATGACAGACCGAGACAACAAACGGAAATCGGAAAAATAGTAAATGCTCACTTGATTGGGAAAATGCGACACGACCGCGCGCCGCATTCCACTTTACTCCGATACTCGCTTGTTTATTCATTGATACAGAGCCTGGGAGGGGAGGGGGCCTCGTGCACGTGTACCCAACACACACACACCGTTGAAAGCGAGGCCAAGTAAACACAACTGTAGCCCCACCTGAATCGGCGGCAGGCACGCAGGCGCACGTGGTGTGGCTGAATGCATTTCGAGGGTGCACTCCCCACGTCCCAGGAGCATGGCTGGCCAGGGACAAATCAGTTCAGAGCCCCCACATTGAATTCCGTGGCCTGGCTGGCCGGACGCAGTGACTAGTTTGACTACTAAACGCCGGTCAACGTTACTCTCCCCGAGAAACGTGCGGTTGACGAGGTGAGATTCGAACCCGCGCTCTTCGGGTTACGAGCCGAATGCGTTACCGATTGCGCTACCGGTGCCTACTGCTGAAGTCGCCGCTTGCCGCCCCGTTTGACTGGGCCGGGTCGGCGGCTCGTCTCGCAGCGCCGACACAGAGCCGCAGTTCGGCCCAAGACAAATGCCGATGCCTTCTGGTGTAACAGAGCAAACTCCCTGCGTAAACTTTGGCCCGGAGGCGCGGTGCCTCGCGGTGCGCGATCCTTTTCTTGCGGAAGTGATAAACTTGCATGCTCCAGTTCGACTGGGCCACGTGAGCGGGCGGGGCGGGGCGAGGTATCGTGACTTCCTCCCGGAGTGTGTCTACAAGGGCAAGAAACTTGCGCATTCTTCGTCCTTCGGTCGTGAATAATGCATCATTTTATTTACGACTGTATGTATTACACCTTTGAGGCGGGCGCCGAGTTAAACGGCCTTGCATGTTGTTTATCCGTGGAGGAGGGGGAGGGGAGTCACGACGTGGAGTCGCGGCAGCGCCTTGTGGAAACTGCCAGCAGTCCGCCGCACGGTGGACCCACTGTGCGCCGCCTGTCGAAGACTCACCGCCTTCTGCGAGTGCCCGCCTGCCTAATAAAGTCCCCGAAAGGCCCCGGCGGCGGCCCGAAGGGCGCGAAGGCGGCGGTGCGATATTGTGTGCACGGAGAGGCAGATTACGCACAACAACAGCTTGCTGCTCTCGGTGGCGACGACGACGACGGGTGACGTCCCCGTGATGGATACGCCCGACACGAGGATAAGGACGCGGCCGGCTCTTTGTTCCGGCTCCACGACAACAACAACAACAACAAGATACCCCCCTCACACAACGGGTAAGTTCCGCCCCTGGCCCCTTGCAGCAGGTGCAGCAGTCCCATTGCGGGCTTCGAGGAAGAGTAGTGGCCCCAGCGCTGCGGCGAGGCAGGCAGAGCGACAACCAACCAGAGTTGTAGACGACCACTCAGCTCAAGCCTTGGAGCACAACGTCAGGTTTTTTTTTTTTTTTTTTTTTTTTGCACGGTTCCGATATTTAAGAAAAAAAATGGCCAAATTTGAGCAGTTTATTATGGCAACTTTTACTCTGTTTC